TTTTTTTTTTTTTTTTTTTTTTTTTTTTTTTTTTTTTCGCTTAACAATTAGACGTCGAATTCACGCCAGCTAACATCTAAAGAGATCGGTAACTAACGAATCGACGTCCGTTTTTTCTGCGTCCCGCACAGTGTTCGATGAATGAAATCATAATGAACGCTATCAGAATCAATTTAAAAAGATTACCGATCTTCGATCTAACGGGCTACTTACAAATGCCTTACGAGAAGAGGCGGGAGGAAGTTGCCAGAACTTCTTTCTCGATAAGATTAGAACTGAAAATCTGACTCGTTCGAACCGCGAAAATTAAAAAAAAAAAGGATATATATAAATGAAACACGTTAATATATTTTGAAATTATTCCTGCCGCTTCTCGCAGGACAAGAATTTTCTACGACGAGTCGTACGGATAACAATCGAAAAGTTCAAAATACACTCCCCACGTGGACGAAAAGTTTCAGCCGCGTGCCGTGTATGGTTATCGAGGATCGGTTAAACGCGCGCAAAAATGAGTTAATTTTTCAGGCACACGGCTATACTTAAACGCTAACGAGTCTTTGACGAGTGGCGACGCAATCAACGGAAGGTGATCAGGAAGATGCAAGGATCTTCAAATTAAAAAGCTTTCATACGTACTTTTTCTCTCCCTCTCCCTCTCTTTCTCTCATCTTCAATTTTTTTTTATTCTCTTCATTCTTCGTCCTCTCCCTCTCTCGCACACACGAATTCTTATTTTTTTTTTTTTTTTTTTTTTTTTTCTTTAAACTCTCTCACTACCGTCAATCTCCTTTTTTTTTTTTTTAATGTTGCATACAAAAATAGTAGGAAACGAACGTGAGGTTTTGCGAAGTTACAACGACTTTATCACCCGTTCTCTTCGATCGTACGTAGTTTTTAATATTTCCTCGAGCTAATCATTTGCCAGGCAGATGATTTCTTCGATACACGCACTCTTTCTCTCTTCCCTTTCTCTCTCTCTTTCTCTCTCTTTCACTCTCTCTTTCACTCTCTATTCCTCTTGCTCACTTTTAATAATAGCCCAGGCGAATTTACGAAAAATCACTCGTGAACAATGCTCGATGCATATGCCGATCACCTCAAGAAAAATCTCAAATCTCGTTCTCTTGGATCTCTTCGAATGAAAATAATAAACGCACGTATATAAATAAAGCAATTATCAGTGAAACGTTTCTTCGTAACGTGTTTCATTGAGCGGAACGAATTACCGAAGGCATTGCAACCGGGCACAACAGCAAATGCATCGAGCATTCTTGAAAGAAAGCGCATGCGAGCGAAATGAAAAATAAATAAACGTGACTGTGCAATTACAATCATGACTTTGGTTCAGCTTTCTCGGTTGCACGACTCGGTAAAGCGCGACTATTCCTGCAAATAACGCTCTTCGCCCAGATTAAATTATATAAATATTCTTTCCCCCTCCCCATCGTCATCTCCTCAATCGTCAATCGTATCGGTATAATCGATTAAAACGAAAACAAGGAATATTAAATACGATTGAATAATTACATTTGAAAACAATGATCGCTCGAAACGTGACTTGATAAGATGGTGACGAACGATACTTGCAGGTTTGTTTCTCTCGATACCTCTCGATAATTTTATTTCACTTTTTTTCTCCTCCTTCCGATTTTTTTCTTTTTAATCATATATATATATTTTTTTTTTTTTTTTTTTTTTTAGAGAGATTCGTGAACTGTTTTCTTTTTTTTCTTTTTTTTTCCTTTTTGTTTTTCTTTTATAGGTACAATTATCTTCGTTAACCACTACGACGACTTTAGGTACAGTTAAACCACTACTTTTGTTGTGCGCCCATCTCTTTATAATTGAAACATTGGATAATTCTAATCTGCTTAATATTTATCTCTGCTCAGGTCTCTCTCGTTTCGTCCACCACTCTCCCTCCCTTCCTCCTTTCCCAATTCCCTTCTCCTTTCTTTAAAATCTAGAGGTTTTTTTTTTTTTTTTTTTTTTTTTTTTCAGTTAAATTTATCACGCTCTCCCATTCAAGAAAGTAGTGCCTCTCTTTCGCGTCGCTTGGTACAGGGTATAGATAAAAGGTCGCGGTGCGCGCGTTTTTTTTTTTTTTTTTTTTTTTTTTTCGTCAATTAAATTCTCAATAAAAAGATAGGCACACCCTTCACCTACTTCGCCTCCTGAAGATACAATCACCGTAAGCGAAGCTTCTGGATGGATTCCACTTGGTATTTATTTATTTCTCACGCGGAACAACGTACGTACACAAAACCTCGTCGAAAAATTTATCAAAGATTCGGATTCATCGATTGGTGATAAATTTTATGCATAAATTAAATTATCTCATTCTTTTTT